TGGAGTTGCTCACGCGTAATCTCACTCATCCATTTTACACTGCACACTTGCCCCGACCTACCTTTCGCACGACTAGAAGAATGCATGCATGCAGAGATGCATGCACAAACACAGATGCACGCAGATAAGGGTGAGGCTGCACAGCTGGTAGTCGGCGGCTGTGCACACGGAGCCTACCCGGTAACAGAGAGAGCGTCTCTGCCTCAGCCCTCAGACTCGACCCAGCCATTCCATCGTCTGCCCGGGCAGCGGCTGCTGCTGCGGACAATATATATTGATTTTGGGAAGGGTCTCCTAGTGCAAGTGGTGAGGTAGGCTCCACGTCTTGGTGGTCGCTTGCAGCAGCCGGCGAACTCGGTTTTTGTGTCATGCCAGAGGGAAGGATTCTTGGTCGCTGCAAAATGTCCAGGCGCTTCTGCAAACAGCCAAAGAATTAAAGTGCCACTCAAATCAGCATTTGCAGCTAGCACACACACACGCTAATCAACAAACCTGTTTTGTTCTAATAAGAATCAAGCCCTGAAGTAAGTAGAGTTGCTTGCTTGCCTACGTCGTGACTACAGGCTCTACGATGGTTTTCCCAGAGCCTGCATGCGAAGCTGTGCTTCATGCAGTGAACAAACCGGTTATTTAAGTTAGCTCACTCGAACGGTGGCACGCTGACGCTGGGCATTGTGAACGACTTCTTCAAGTTGCTTCTTCAGTCGACGAATGTCCACGTAGGCCGACAGATAGTGCGCCGGGACTTGCATATGGAAAGAAGGTGCGGCCATCTTAACTGAGCCAACGGCGACCTCACATGTACACGATACACCCAAACTGACGGAAAGCTGAGCTTTCAAGCCACCCGTGCAGCCAATTGACTCCGCCCCTACTGGGTCCTCGCCGGCAACGTCCCCCGGGGTTGCCAAAAAATAGCCGCAGTCAAGTGTACACCCAAGGAGTTATTCATGCGCACACTTTGAAAGGCAGGAGATAAAGGAGGAGGCTGACTCGACCACGCTGCAGCAGACCAAATGTTCGCACGCAGCCCGCAAGCCGCTTCCACTGATCAGCGGACGTGCAAGTGTTGCCCATATATGCGTACGTCTGGCGAACAAAAGTATTGAAATAACACACTTTCAGTCCTTGGATTTGCACGAAGGAGCCGCCGTGCACATTTTTTGAAGTTACGGGAAGATGGGGCTGCCGACAGGTGAACGCCGATGAGCGAGGCCACCAATGCCACTGAGCGGAATCACCTCTAGATCGCACTTGTAACGGTTGCTGCCCATTGTTCAATTAAAAGCAAATAGACTTCTTGGAAGTTCCTGAATTGACGGCTTCTTTTGTCGGTTGTTGCAACAAAATGGCGCATGCATTTTGATGGTGTCCGCGGGGCTTTCCCTGGTCATTGCTGCACGATGCAGTAGCCTTCTACAGAACGCACTGCCTTACAGTTGGCAGTTATCTGTATGGATTGATCGTAAACAAATGTTTCTTGGGTTCTTCTGCTTCTGCGTTACACTGACCCCTTGCAGTCATCATTGTACGTGCTGCTCTGCCGCCTTCAACGCTGTGCCATTCGGTGCAGCGAAACAGCCTGAATGGGGAACCCCAACCGATTCTTCTGTATGAAATTACACCCGTCTGCATATCGGCTCCGCATGCTAATCTAGAGCGACCAAGAGTAGCCTGCCTGTATGGACTCTGCGACTCGTAACGACGCCACGGAGTCCGCTAAATTACAGCCACTGGGCACATGCATTAAACAGTGCAGCCATCTACAAGATGCTACGCAAGATCTGTTTGGATCCCCAATAGGATAGGCATTCTGCGGAAGGGACTTCAATCCCTCTTAAGGCAGCGCTGCTCTGTGCGCGTAGAACGGGGAGAAACCACCCCAGTGCAGTTAGAGGCATTACTTTTTGCAGAGGCTCTGCCGATGCGGGGAATCCACAGCGACGAATGCTCTAAGGCTTTCGTATGGCGCTGCCCCACCGTCTTACTGTCCACTGCCTTAAGTATAGTTGAGGAAAGGCCTATATAGTATAGACCCCTTGCACTATGGCGGCTGAGGCATTGACACAAGGAGCCTATAAAGAGTCGGCGTGTAAGAAGAGCCCTGCAGATGGCCGGCCTGTCCGGTTCAGTTTGGGTGATCCCAACGACGCCTCCAACAGCTGTGCAGGGGAGTCGAAGCCAGCCCGTGAATCGGTTCATTTTGGAATGCTGGACGCCCCCCCTACAGACCAGGCAATCCGAAAGGATTCGAAAACAACTGCACGCAAACCAACCGTCATCGTGGGGGCTGATGGCCGCCCACTGCCCATCCTGAAAGGTAACAGGACATTCGGCTATGGCCAAGCGCGCCGCCTTGTGGAGCAGCTTCGAGTTAAGTTTGCATTCGACAGGAACGAAACTCGCTTCTATTGCCCTGATTCAAACGAGCACACGGAGCCACCTCCCGCACCGGCCGAGCTGCGCGACTCTGTCCGGGGCTTCCTGAAGTCCTCAAAGAGAGTAGCGCAGGAGTCTCAGGAATTGACGCAAGCGGTACAGCAGAAGCTTAATGAAGCCAAAGAGATTGAGCAGGAGCTCACAGCCATGACACAGAAGTACGTGGAAAAACTAGAGCACCAGAAAGCAGCACAGCGAGCCAAACAAACTGTCGTTATCTCAAGCACGAAGCCCCCTCGCCGCTTCCTCTGCTGCGGCGCCTCCCCCGTAGTGCTGCAATGAGACTCTGAAGCAGCACTTCTCTACCGGCACCTGAGTGAGCGAATTGCTCATATCCACCTACCAGCCAGGTGACCCCACTAGCTACATTGCCCCCTGCAAAGGGATTGCAGACCCAATTCTCCTGGGACAACAGTCCCTATGGGCTGAACAGTAACTGCGAGGTCGTCGCAAGACGCCTCCGCGGCGCGAAGAAGTGACAGACAGCTAGCCTAACTGAGCACTTGGTCCTATTCTCCTCTATGGTCCAACTCCTACAACAGAAGTTTCCTACTAGGTGAAGGCTTGCCTGTCCCAAAACAAGGAGGCCCCACGGGTACACTAACTGTGGCGGCGGCTACTCTCAACCGAAGTCTACTATCTGGGACTTCCAAATGTCCAGTCCAAATGTGCTTTTACTATACGTCTCCCTGCAACTCAGCGCTTTGTGAAAAAGGTTAAGTAGCTGTCCCACCACGCCTGAGCGTATACCCCAGCACCCTAACGCCCAAGAGTAAAGGCACAGATAGATCGAAGCAAGGACGGCACGTGAAAGAACAGTTCTTCCGGGTAACCGATACTGAAACCCGTTCACCGTCTGAACTGCCTCTTCACATCTACAACCGACGAAAGCAATGGGAGCCGTCTCCGCGAACGTGAACCCCCGGCAGCGGTAAAATCAGTCCGACTTCTCAAGAGTCCCCTTCTCGGAAACATAGATGCCGTCCAAAAACTTCCGAATATCCTTACGACGTACCAGCGTGGCCTGATGGATGAGTGCAGCTGTGCAGGAAAGCGCAAGCCACACAAATAACCCAGTGAATAGCCGCAGCTGCCTATTCGCAAGTGGGATGTGCTTACTGTCTAGATGGACTTTACCAGCAGCAGCCAACTTAGGGAAGTGTACCCGATCCAGGAAAGCTGCAACAACAAACTCTGGAAGTGCCCATACCTGAACGCGACACAAGCTCGAGGTCTGTTCCTTTCAGGGCAATCTCATCCTTGACGCTCGTGCTCTTTTCACAAACGACGCCGGGGAGAAGCTTGACGATTCGCACACGTTTCTCACCCAAGAAATTCCGGATTTCGACGACTTTGCCGCCGTCAATGATGTTGAGGTTTATGGGGAAGTGAGAATACACGAAACGCATCTTGTACTCAAACTGCTTAGTCACCCCCGTAAACATGTTGTTCAAGTGTGAGCAGACAGTACGCAGGCAGGCAATGTCTGACTTCCTACCCTGCCATGTTGCCACCTTCACATGCTTTGCATCTTTTGTGGTGTGCAGCACCAAAGGCAGGTGACGAAAAGTCCTCTTCAACTCTCCTCGGGGCCCCTTCACTGTAACTTCCCTGCTTCGAACGGAGACAGTCACTGCAGAACGCAAAAGCACAACAATCCTCCAGTTGCCAGCTAGCCACTCTACATGCACGTCTTATCCATGACGGATCCTCAGCAAACCAGAGCCATTCAAATATGTAAGATGCATGAGCCTCACTAGCACTCGTGCAGCCAAATTGGAGCAATGATGCAAGCCCCATCCCCTGCAGTCATCAACTAAAGGTACAAAACTGCAAAAAAGTTCAAACTAGCAACTGGAAACGATGTGGCTTGTAAAGTGCTTGCCGCCAAATGACAAACGAGATAAAGTGGGCCCCGAGGGTAAGCTACAAGTTCTGGACCCCCGTTGACGAGCCTCCATCGCAACTCACAACCGCACACTGATGGCTCAGCCCAAGCATGCCACCAGCAGGAATTGCTCTGCAGAATCTCCATGTGAAAAACTTCGTAAAACGGGGGCCGTCCATGCATTATATGCACTACAAAAGTGGGCACTCCCAACTGTGTCTACCGCCTCGATCCTCGCGTGCCCCTCGCCAAAACTAAAAGCCAGCAATTCGGCAGCCTCAACCCCCCGAAAACCTCCAGAAAGTGAAAAAACCAAGCGTTTGCACGCATAAATTTAGGAAAACCCAGGTGCGACAGCCAGAGGAACGTTTAGCCACAGCCTTTTCAGCGGAGAGTGGGGTGCATGGCCTACCTCCGTCGGGCACCCGGACGCTCTGTTCAGAGTATACCGTCTTCATTTTCACAAGCAGCGTCAGTAAGGAAACTCCTAGGAGGACCGTTTGACCCGTCGGTTAACCCCTTTCTTCTGGTTGGACTACACCTTCGACCCTCCCCGCAGCTGCGCGGCAACGCAACGCGCATGCATGGGGCTTGGGGGCGTAATGCGCGATGGAGTTCGTTAAACCCAATAGCAGAGTCTTGCCGACCTAGGGCAACAGACAAAATGCGTAAGTTGTATTGAATCATTATTAAGGTATTCCATGGCTCATCTGTGCTTATTTTCCTGTCCATTCGTGAATCCCTGAGCCCCAGACAAAGTGGCGTAAAGCCGCGCTCAGCCAACACCCTGTCACGCAGATTGCAAGGTGTCCAAGGGGAGTAGAGCTTGGTCATTTCAACCTGCATCCCTGATTGAAGAATTTCTAATTTCTAAGTTATTGAATTGCTTCGTGAGATTGAATCGTAGGATGGTCAGGAAATCGGCGTTTCGATAGAGTCGAATCCTTTCACGAGCAGGAGGGTAGCATGGCCTGCTTGAAGTTGGTGAGCGTTGAAGAATAGACTACAGTGTTAGTACTTGCATCGAAGAATGTATAGGTCGTGTTTGCATTTGTTACTGCTTTGCGGCAAGAACTGGAGCAAGGCGCGTTACAGCTCATGCCATGAAGCGTGTTCAACAAATGTATGTGGTGTTTGACCCAGCGTAGAAGGGGGCATCCGAATGCTTGCCTATATTATTGCCCTTCAGCAGGAGCTCCACGAAGGTGGCCTTTAACTCGTGAGAGGCGGCCTACGCTCCGCAACAGCCACCCTTGGGCTGCTGCGCCCAGGAAGCGTGGAGGCTGAAGGTTAGGCCAGCTGTTTTTGTGGAACCCACATTTCAAGTATTTTGACTCCATATAAGCTGACAAAGGGCCCTGGGTGGTATCCAGGACTCTTGCTAGCGTTGAGTGCTCCGCACGGTTTAGTGGTGGAAGTGACGAATCCCTACCCGACACGGTGGAGCCCAGGAGTGCCGCTACTTAGTTGTGGATGCGCACTGCAA